ATGGCTTAATAAATTAGTTCCGGTTCCGGCCGGAACTTTTTTCCAGTTCCGGTCGGATCCGGTTCCAGACGGAACTTAAAAAACCGGTTCCGGTGCATCCCTAGCACATGGGTGGAAAACTATCGGATTAAGGTTTGTGTCAGGGTATATTTGTAAAATAGAGCCTGTTCTCAGGTTACCTTCAAAGTTCAAAGCTACCCACACTACCGTAGGAAGCAATTTGTATTGGGGGCTGATTAGTCTGGGGTGATTATTGCTAGTTTAAAAATTATTGTTGCTACGACCCCGACCACTAAATTGCAAAACAACTGAACAATCTGCTGATGCCTGATGGGGAGACCAAATGGTCATTCTAGAAAACATCAATACCACCCCCACGGAGGAAATTGAAGGTGAACCACCCTACCCCCTTCGGATGTCCTAATACATTTACTATTATCACAAACAATTTGTTCCCTCCTCCCCCTCCGGACGGCAGAAAATTCCTCCGGGGGGAGTGTGGATCTTTTCTGGAACAACCCAATTTGTTTGTTGACAATTTTGTTTCATATGTCAGCTTCTGATGACATCATTAATTTGTAATGATTAAGATTGTACTCAGTCAGAACTGCAAAACTATATAATACAAAAAATTGTGAACATTATAAAAAAATATAGTATACCCTGAACTGTAGTCTGTAGTGACACACACAGCCAGGTGAATATATTATGCTAACAATTAACAATGGACATACAGCTCAGAAATATATTTGTACAGTTGACATGTTATTAAATGTAACTGCTGGTAAATTAACATGTGCAGAAAACAATCCACACTGGATTGCAATAGGAATATCTTTCTACAAGTCAGATATTTTTTCGTTCGTATGCAATTATGTGTTCCAATACGGGCACGATACTGCTCAATTGATATTCCATAATATCAATATTGTAATAAACTATCACTGTGATTATTTACACCTTGAAGTACGATGTTCTATCAATCTCAAACAGATTTTTTACTCCACTTGTTTTAATATATGAAGAGTTGTATACTTGTATGGCACCTAAATTAAAATTTAATAAAAATACAGTTGATTCATTCGTTCCAATGGGTAAAATAATTCGACCAAAACACATTGTTATTTGTGATTAAACTTTCATCTTACCTTGAAAAATATTTTCGATAAACAGCCAGCAAGAAAAGTATTTCGATAAACAGCCAGACATAAATTTACAACAGGCAACGAGGCACATGTTTACAAATTGTATCGTTCATGCTGGTGTTCGTGAGTCTCAACCAGGGTATTCGGAAAGTCAAATCACAATCTGGAGTATGTTATTTTTTTAAATACTGTATCTGTGACTATACATAACTCGGCCAAAGAGACTGGGCACACGTAAACGCAATACTTCATGTTAAGAATAGTGTGCTGCCTTCGGCAGCAATAATTAATTTAACTATGCAAGCATATAAAATTAACTATACCCAAATATAGTAGCATATAGATCTGTTTCTATGGTTCTATGCTTGTATGATTCCTCTCTCCTCCGCAGAGGCTTTAATTGGCTATGAAGGCGCGAAGCCTCTGCGCGATGCCACACCCAATATGGCGGTAAACTGGGGGGGGGGGGGGGG